CCGGTTCGGTGCGGGGCTGTGGATGCCGGGGAAGCCCCCTGCGTACAGCCAAGTCTCTGGTCACGTGCCCGCCCCCCACCCCCTGGGCTCTGGCCTGCCTCCCAGAAGTAGTGCACGAGCGCCAGGGAAGGAACCACCTCCTCCAGGCTCCCATGGCCTTTCTTGCGGGTCTCAGAATCTGCTTTTTTTTTTTAAATCTCTTCTCTGGATGATTCTCAGTTGATGCCCCTTCTTTTCACCCCCTCGTGTCTCTGCCCACCCACCCCCGTGTGTGTTTGTGTGTGTGTGCGCGCGCGCGCCCCTCTCTATCTCTGCCCCACTCTCTCTGGATCTGTGCCCCCCAGGGTGTCTGTCTGAGAGGCTGCTCTCTCTCTGTCCCCCATCCCTGTGGATCTCTGTCCCCCACTTTCTGGGTCTCTATCTCCCTTTCTCTCTTGGTCTCTGTCCTCTTCTCTCTGGGTCTCTGTCTCTGCCTCTCTCTGAGTCTCTGTCCCCCATCCCTCTGGGTCTCTGTTACCCTCTTTCTGGGTCTCTATCGCTCTCTCTGGGTCTCTGCCCCCATGCCCCTCTGGATCTCTGTCCCCTTTTCTCTCTGGGTGTCTGTCCCCCTCTCTCTGGGTCTTCAGCCCCCTCTCTCTGGGTCCCAGTCTTTGTCTGTCTGTCTGTCTCTCTCTCTCTCTCTCTCTCAGTCTTCAGCCCTCTCTCTCTCTCTGGGTCTCTTCCCAGCTCCACTCTCCCAGCTCCACTCCCTGGGAGACCTGGCTCACACACGCATACCTGAGCACCCCTATGGGAGGCAGGGCAACTCCTGAGGTGGGCCGGATGCCCCAGGGCACCAGCAGCAATAGCAGCAGCAGCAGCCGCACTCGGAGGCCCCTGGGCACCTGGCAAGTCTCCATCACCTGTAAAGACAGAGATGAGCATTCGGCGAGATCCCCGTCCTGTCCCAGCCTGTGGGATCCTCGCCCTGCCAGCCCGCGCTAGGGGGAGGTGAGGGACCTACCGCACAGTGGGCTCCTTTGGCAGCAATGTGACAGTCCCCTTATATTGCCTATGCAGCCCCCGCGGCAGCCCCCGCGGCAGGCATTGACGCAGGCGGGGGCCGGGGTCTCAAGGTCTGCCCGCTCTAGGCTCATTAGGAACCACCAGCAGTAATGAGGAGCCGGGGGTGGGGGCCCTCACCGCTGCCTGGCCACCAATTAATTGGGACAAGAAGCTGGGACCCAAGGAGGAGAAGGAGGGAAGAGAGAGGAGGAGAGGTGGACACTGGGCGGCCAGTGGGGGTGGGGGGATTGTCCGTGGGATAAAAATAGAGGCTGGCAGAGGGGCCACGGGAGCCAGAGACAGACACACAGAGTGGAGCGCCGGGAGTAAGGGCTGATGGAGAGACACCGAGACACAGAGGGGTGGGAAGTGGGGCAGGACGAGGACAGAGTGGCTGAGAGCAGGAGAGGGGGGTATAGGAAGAAAGACTGTGATGGAAGGGGAGAGGGAAAGGGGAGAGGAAGAAACTAACAGAGGACAGAGCTGGAAGAGCCAAAAGACCAAGGCAGAAGTCAGATGAGGGAGATGGATGAACGCAGGATGCTCCCAGACAGAGCTGTTCATTCAGAGAGCAGCCCAGGTGGGGGTGGGGGTGGGGAGGACCAGACAGGTGAAATGATGGCAGAAATAGGGGGGGCAGCAAGCAAATGACTGTACAGAGGGGTGTGGGGAGTGGATGTGAAAGGCAGATCAAAAAGGCCTTACAGGGATGGGGTGGGTGCTTAAGTCCTGCCCCCACCAGACATTCCAGGACCCTGAGGCTTTAGAAACAAGCCCCCTCCCCGACCTCCCACCCCTCATCGTCATCGGGTGATTCTGGCCCTCTGCTAGGTGGGAAGGGGGTTCTCTATCTGGGTAGACAAGATGAGGGATCCTGGAGTCCTGATTCCTCAGAGAATGGTCCGCACCAACCTGGGCAACTGGGTTAACAGGGGATCCTGTATAAGGGGCCTGGCTTCCAGGATCGTTGGGAGGAATGCATGGGGTCGTGGAGACTTGGGTCCGAGGAGGGAGGAGGAGCTGGAGCCCAGGACTCTTGGTTCTGAAGGAGGGGGCTGGGGACCAGGACTCCTGGGTTTTGAGATAGGAGTAGGGTCTGGGGACTAAGTAGGCTGGGCTCCTGGATCTGAGGGGAGTCAGCTTGGTCCCTTGGTGAACTTGATTGGGGGGGTTGGGGGGGTGCCTCCCCCCACAGGATCCGCCCATGTCTAAATCCCTTCCCCAGCCCACAGATGAAGTAGGCTGTCGGTTCCTTTAAGAGCCCCAGTCTGTGACTCGGCTTCCAGGATCCCACAGGGGAAAAGTCAGGTGTGTCACCTGCACCCTGGGACCCTCCCCTCCCCCACCCCCGCCACACCCAGCGCCATTCTGCAAGTCACCCTTCTGCTGGCAGCTCTGCTCATCTGCTGTCCGACCCCTCTGAGCAGGTAAGAGGCGCCAGACCCCTTCCAGGGCTCTGCCCACCTGGGACCTCAAGTTTCCAGTAAACAGAAGGGCTAAGGTTGGGCCCCACAATCGTCTCCTTATCTGAAGGTTGAGGGGGCCAGACCCCAAGCCTTTGTTCCTCAAAGACACAGGGCTCAGAGCCACAGGTCCCCTTCTCCTCTGTAACCCAGTCACCCCAAACCCCAACTCTCTGAGCCTGCAGGCCCCTCCTCGCTGATGAACAGGGAATTTAGACCTCCGCTCCCTGCTGCTTCAGGCCCTGGACCCCTGGTCCCCAAGCCCTTCTCCCTTTGATTGGGGAGTCCAGACCCAAGCCTCAGGACCCTCTTCCTCCAGGCCCCAAAAGTCCAGAGCCCAACCTTCTCCTCCCAGAAACCCAGGAGTCCAAGCCCCCAGCCCCTTTGGCCTCCACTCCAGAATCCAGAATGGCTTCTTTCCCCCCCACCCCTTGCTTCAAAACTTCCTCTAGGATAAACAACTCTTGGTTCAAGGGGTCCCCCAGGTCCTCAAAAGTAAGGCCACCCCACGCAAGCGGGCAGGTTCTTATGCCCCACCAAAGTCTAAATTGAAGAGCGTTGGGGAGTGGGGGTGGGGATTCCAGAGGTGTCTATCATTCGTTCCCAATCAACCCCGGGAGCCCTGGGTGGGTGGGGGGGAGCCGATAAGGTGTAACTATGACTCCCAAGAAGCCCTTGCTTCAGCCCATCCCCCCTCCCTTAGCTACTGCGGGCCCCAGCCCTGCGGCCCCCAGGGAGCTGCAGGTGGGAGGGCCCGCTATTCCCTGGCGCCCTGCTGGGCCCCCACCCCACCTGGGGCCATGTGGGCAGGGCTTACTGAAGTGGGCGGGGCCTCCTGGATTAACCCCTCCCTTCCCACTTCCCCACAGCTGGAGGCGTTCGTTGGAACCATGAGACCGTTCCGTCCGATCTTCTTCCTCCTTCTCTTCCTCCTTGCCTGGCAGGGCTCCCAGGCCGTCCCCTCGACTGCGCCACCGGCGGGAACCGACTCCACTACGCTGGGTCACCCCTCCGCCACTGGCGCGTCTGCAAACTCCACTCCCCATCAACCTGACCCAGAGTCCCCTGGGACTTTGCCTTCCAAGATACCCCATCATGCAGTTTCTCCAGAGACCTCCCCTGCCGCCGCCAGGGTCCCTGAGACCCCCAATCCTGCCCTCCTGGGGACCCCACACCCAGATCCCCCCGAGACCCCCAAGCCATCACAGTCCCTAGGGACCACAGACCCTCACCCTTCCCAAATAACCCATCCAGAATTTTCCGATAGCCCCAAACCTTATCCCATGGAAACCATGCAGCTGGGATCCCAGGACACCCCCAAACCTCATCTGTCTAAATCTCTTCCCCCAGGATTTCTTGGTGCTCCAAACCCTGGCCCTACTGAAAATGCACACCAAGAACCCTCTGGGGCCCCAACATTGAACATCACGGAAATCCTGCACCCAGACCCTCACCCCACCCAGACCGCTGGCCCCCAAACTCCAGAGACCCATAACGTTGACACCACTCAGATCCCAAGCTCTGAATTTCCCCAGACCGCCCGTCTTGTCCCCACTTCG